GAAACAACCAAACACAAAAGAATAGAGAGAGAGAGGGGGAGCGCCCACCGACAGCACTGATATAGAGAGATACCACGAGAAAGAGAGATAGAGAGAGATATAGAAAGAGAGAGAAGAGAGAAAACGAGAGAGAGAGAGAGAGAGAAAGAGGGGGCGCCCACCGACAGCCGCCCAACGAGAGCCGCCCACCGAAATCGGCTGGCTAGTTTCGCCAGTCTCTTGGGGGGTTTCCCATCGAAAGCCGCCCACCGAGAGCCGCCCACCGAAGTCGGCCCGCTACTGTCGCCAATCTCTCCTATGTCCGCTAGGACCCCTTCAGTGTAAACACTGATTGGGGAAAGATGATGGCTGTTGTTGTTGCCGTTTCTGTTTCTGTTGTGTTGTTGTTGTATTCCGTCTTCTAAATAAAATGTTTTGATTCCCCCCTCCAGTAACCGTTGAATTCTTAAGCTGAAATGCTCCCCCTGGTGCTCGCACCCTGACGTTTACAAGTAAAAGCTGGGTGTCATCAAACTTGGCCGCTGGCCCCCGAGTTCCAACAACAATGGCTCCCGCCTAATTGTACGCACGCCCTCACAATGTATGCAGGAATCGAGTTCTCGCGTGGGACTTCCTCGCAATGTATTCAGACGCCGCGCCTTCGACACTCAGGACTCACGCTCTGGCTTAGGCGGTTCTCGCGGTCTACTTGGGAATGGCGCTGTCGCTCAAGGCTGCCTCGCGATTCATGAAGGACTCACGCTTCAGCAACCCGCCTGCTCAACCTGGCCGCCTGGGCCCGCCTTCCAGACCCGCCCGCTAGGGTCTGCCCGCCAATCCTGCCCGTATGGTGTTGCCACGTGTGTTCTGCTCCTAGCCCCCCTGCTGCTAATTTCTTTCGTGCTCGATCCTTCTCCCTCCCCTGTTCTGGGAGCTGCGCTAAGTGAGCGTGACAGGTAAGGAAGATATACCCCCACTGGATGGGGTACGACCGAAGACGAAGATGGCGAGTATCGAGGGCTTCGGATACACGTGGTGACTGGCACGCGAGCAGATAGAAACGGATAGTCTTACCATGAGTGTGATTGACGTTGTTGTTGTCGTTGTTCTTGTTAGCGTTAGCGTTGTAGTTGTAGGTGTTGTTGCTCCTGCTGTTGTTGCTGCTGTTGTTGAACTCTTAGTATTGAGGATTGAAGAATGATTTGTGTTGACCCCCCCTCGAGTAACATTTGTGTTGTTCAATTGAAGTGCCCTTTCCTGGGCTCGCACCCTTTTTATAACGGAAAGTATTCCTCCTCAATTTGTTCCCTTGGCCCCTGGTTTACAATAGTGGCTCCCGCCTGGTACTTCTTTGCAAATGACTTGGGGATCGCGCTGTCGCTATGGACTTGTTACAATTTATACAAGAATCTCGCTCTGGCTTGTGACTTCCTCGAGGTTTATTCAGGCACCACGCCCTCGCCATTCAGAACTCGCGCTCTCGCTTGGAGCTTCCTCAACATTGTCTTAGGAATCGCGCTCTCGCCCGCGTCCTTCTGGCGATTTCTACAGGACTCACGCATTCGCGTAACATACAGATTGTTCAATTGAAGTGCACCTCCCAGGGCCCGCTGTGTTTTTTTACCAAACCAAGGGAAGTCGTTCTACTCAAACTGTGCCCCTGGCCCCGGGTTTCCAACAACCGCGAGTCCCGCCGGATACTTCTTGCAATGTATTGAAGGATCGCGCTCTCGCTAGGATCTTCCTTGCAATGCATCGAAGAATCGCGCTCTCGCTTGATACTTCGTCGCAATTTACTCAGGCGCCGCGCTTTCGACACTCAGGATTCGCGCTGTCGCTTAGGACATCCTCGCAATTGAGTCATGCGCCGCGCCCTCGACACTCAGGTATAACACTCTCGCGTTGGATTCCTTCACGCGATTTATTTCGGAATGGCGCTGTCGCTCAAGGCTGCCTCGCGATTCATGAAGGACGCACGCTTCATCAACCCGCCTGCTTGACCTGGCCGCCTGGGCCCGCCTTCCCGACCCGCCCGCTAGGGTCTGCCCGCCCGATCTGCCCGTCTGGTTCTGCCACGTCTCTTCTGCTCCTAGGCCCCCTCCTGCTACGCTCCCTCGTGGTCCATACTTCTCCCTCCCCCTTGTCCCTTCCTGCCATCCGTCCTCTCTTCTCTTGCCTCAGGGGCTGCACAAAATACACACTGCAGGTAAAATAGATATACTCTGGATGGGGGTGCGGTCGAAGACAAAGAGGGCGGGAATTGAGGGCTTGGGATCTCGAGGACCCTCTTCCAGGGGGGGGGGGTCTGACAATGGGGTTTTGGTCACCGTCTCAGCGCAGTTCTCGCTGCAAGCTCACACGGGACTGGGTACCAAGGTTGGTGCATGGCGTGTGCGCGGTCGTTGTCGCCCCCCCCCCCCATGGGCTGGCGACGGGGTCCTCACTCCGCGAGCGCCAGCTTATCGGACGCGGGGTCGGGTAAAGGGTAAGTGCGCTGTGAGGTGGGCCTGGCCCCGTCACGGGGCCGTGTGGCAGGTTGCTCCACTGTTGTTGTTGCTGTTTTGTTGTTGTTCAACTCCCGCTACCGAAGAATAATCATTGTTGATCCCCCCTCCGATAACATGTGTTTTTTTGTCATGGAGCCGCCCTTCCCAGGGCTCGCACCTTGCTTTTTTGTATCAGGGATCGTCTCCCTCCTCAAACTGCGTTGTGGGACCCCGAACTATAGCAACAACAACGGCTCCCGCTTGATACTTCTACTTTTTTGTTTAAAGAGTCGCGCTCTCGCTAAACACTTCTCTTCCAATTTCAAGAATCGCGCTGTCGCGTGGGACTTCATCGCAACTTATTCAGACGCCGCGTCCTCGATCGACATTCAGGAGTCACGCTCTCGCTATGATGTTCCCAACGGTTGATTTGGGAACCGAGCTGTCGCTCAGGGCTTCCTCGCGGTTCATGCAGGACGCACGATTCAACAACCCTCCTCGACCTGGCCGCCTGGGCCCTCCTTCCCGACCCGCCTGGTAGGGTCTACCCGCCCGATCTGCCCGTTTGGTTTTGCCACGTGTTTTCTTCTTTTAGCCACCCTCCTAGTCTCTCTTGTGCTCCATCCTCTTCCCCGCTGTCCTTTTTATTCGATCCGTCCTTTCTTTCCCTGCCTCACGGGCTGCCCAATGTACACGTTGCAGGTGTGAAAGGTATACCCCCAAGGGGTTACGGCCGAAGACGAAGAGAACGGGTATCGAGGGCTCGGGTTATGCGTATTGGATGGCACGCGAGAAGAGAAGAGCGAACAGTCTTAACATGCTTATTATTGTTGTTGTGGTGGAGTTGGTGGTTGTTGTTGGTAGTGGCGTTGTTCGTGCCACTTCGGAAGAGTAGTAATTGTTGGTGCCACATATTGGGCACACTGCATGGTTTTGCACTTGGAGTGCCCTTCCTTGCGCTCGCACCCTGTTTTTTTATCAGGGAACGTTTTTGGTCTCAGAATTTAGCTGTTTGCCCCCGGTTTGCAGCAACAGCGGCTCCCAAGTGACACTTCCCCACAACGTATTCCCAAGTCGCGCTCTCGCACGGGACGTCCTCACAACTTATGCAGGAATCGCGCTGTCGCGTGGGACGTCGCAATGTAGTAGTCAGACGCCGCGCCCTCGACACTCAGCAATCACGCTCTCCCTTTTTGGATTGCTCACGATTCATTTGGGGATCGTGCTATCTCTCCAGACTTCCTCGCTTCAACAACCCGCTGGCTCGACCTGGCCGCCTGGGCCCTCCTTCCCGACCCGCCTGGTAGGGTCTACCCGCCCGATCTGCCCGTCTGGTTCTGCCACGTGTTTTCTGCTCCCAGCTACCCTCCTTCTATTCTTTCTCTCGTGCTCCATCCTCCTCTTTCTGTTTTTTCCCTGCCTTCCATGCGTCCTCTCTTCCCCTGCCGTAGGGGCTGCATGATAAACCTGGTGCAGGTAAGATAGATATTACCCCAAGAGGGTACGATCACATGAAGAGGGGTGGTATTGAGGGCTTGGGATGTACGTGTTGAATTAGTTGCACGTTCGCAGATAAGAGCGAACCGTCTTTAACATGATCGGTGTTGTTGCTGCTGTTTGTTGCTGGTGACGTTGTTCGTGTTGGTGTGGTTGCTGTTGTTGGTGTGGCTGTTGCTGCTGCTGCTTTTTACTGTTGGTGATGTTGGTGGTGGTGTTGTTGGTGGTGTTGTTGGTGTTGTTGTTGCTGTTGTGTGTGTTGTTGTTGTTGTTGGTGGTGGTGGTGGTGGTGTTGGTGCTGCTGTTGTTGTTGGTGGTGGTGGTGTTGTTGGTGCTGTTGGTGTTGTTGTGCTTGTTGTTGTTGCTGTTGTTGTTGCTGTTGTTCGCTGTCGTCCTCGCCCGACCCACCCGCGACACACTCCGCGACCCACCCCGCGACCCACCCGCGATCCACCCAGCACCCGCGATCCGCGCCCGCCCCCCGGGCGCTGCGCAAGAGGGGGGGCGATACACGCGGGGGCGAGCCCAGAGGGGGGCGCGACCGCCCCCCCGCTCTTGCAGCGGACAGGGGTATAATCGCAAACTGGAACATATACATTACCAGTGGCGGGTTGTTTTTTCAATCCCACGACTTTTTGAGGGTCGGGGACGACGTCGGGGTGGTGTGATGTGTACGTTTCCCCCGTCTTCCCAGGGAAACAACGAAAAATGTATACATCAGGATCCCGTTTACACCAGGATCCGTTCCTGTGCGAATTTCAGCGCAGGGTCGGAAAAAGCGTCAGTGTATAGAGTTCGTTTCCCTATGTAAGATCGAGGTCGGTTCAGGGAGTGTGCTCTGTGCATCCTGGAGGAGGGCACCTTCGAGTGACCTCATGGTTCGGGGTTTCTGGACCGGCGGCGGGTCTCGTGTTCCTGTGGATGTTC